GGCGAAGGCCAAGCGAGCTCGGACAGTGTGTCTGGCCCTTGCAGGGAGCTGATTCAAGTGAATTCAGCGGGGGAAGCAGGGGGTGCAGGCGTGAATGCAACGGGCTGCAGACGGAAAAACACAGTCCCGCTTAGTGGACTGTGTAAGCTGTCACAGCACATGTCAGTACCCCGAACGCATGCGGCCGGTGGCTAGATAGCGAACGCACCTTGGTGTTGTGCCCTTCCGGTTCTCCTCCCCTGCTCTTGTCCTCTCCAAGTCCTCTCCCTCGCCCGTTCCCCCCTCCTCTCGCGCTCCCGGTCCCTCGGTGATGTGCTTGTGATCACCAGGTACATTCCTTTTCAGGCTTGCTACGAGGACCAACGGCGGCGGCGGCGGCGGGCATAACGCGATGCAGGGCTGGGAGACAGCCGAGGAGCACGGAGGCTGATCCGCTCACGCCTCACGCGCAACGGTCACGGTCATGCGTGTGACCGGACCGTGTAAACGAGCGGGTTCAGACCCGCTTCCCGTCAGCGTGTCAGCTCTGAAGATGGCCTACGCGGGTCGGCTCAAGGCGCTCTGGGTCCGTCAGTGGGAGGGTTCTGAGCGGGCGCCGCGTCTTCACGCGATGGGTTACAAGTCGGTCGCCACGGACCGTCATATGATTCAAATCTCGGGCTTGCCTCGGCGACAGGGGTCTCTTCTGACTCAGCTTCGGATGCGTCACATTGCGCTGAATGCCTTCCTCCACCGGATCAAGGTGGTCGAGGACCCGCGTTGCGATCACTGTGCCCGCGGGGTTCACGAATCGATCAGGCACTTTTTGTTTGAGTGCCCGGCCTGGGGTCGGGCGAGGCAGGAGGTGGTTCGGGCGCTTGGTCGTCGGGCCGAATCGTTGGCCTACCTGTTGAACGATGAGAAGGGGGTCAAAGCGTTGATGTGTTTCATGAACTCGACTGGGCGGTTCCGAAAGACTTATGGGGACATCGCTCGTAGGAAGTGCACGGCTTAGGCCGCTCCCCGTTTTGTCGCGGGATTCTGCCCGTTACGCCGTGGAGTGGATCAGCGGTGAGGTCGAGGATAATTGGGGAGCGGAGGGGGGTCGGTTGGGTTGTCCTGACTATGAGGGGGTTGTCCGTTTCCTGGCTTCGTCGGTGGTCTCGCAGCCACGGTGCTCACATTCTTTGGCGGGCACGTGTCAGCTTATTGCGTTTATTATCGGTAGTGGGGCGGTGCCCCGGTTGCTACAGGCGTGTACTTAAAGTAGGACTGTCCGTCATAGGGCTCTGCCCTGCTGGACATTAATATGATTCACCAAACCAAACCACATGAAGCCTTGAGCTGTAACTTGTCTATGCAATTTTGCCACGACGATGCTGCGCGAGAGTCACGGTCAACCTTTGTTTCCCTGATTCGGGTTTGCGATGAACATCACTGGTACAGAACATCTTGGTTTCCCTCAAAACCTTGATATGCGTCATCTATGGCATGGAATATGAAGGCAGTCAAGTTTGGTAGCAAACGGAATACAGGAAGGTACTCACCCTGAGCAGTTCTATGAAAAGGATGACCAAATTCTCGATTGTTTTGTACTTAGCGTCTGTAGGTTTCATTCCCCCACCATGCCGTGCGATACAGTCATAAAGCAGTTACATTAGATGGCCTATGTTTAGTTTTGTAGGTATACACCATGGGACAGGGAAGGGACAATCGAATTTAAGTACACCCCATTGCGGGTAACGGATTTCATTGCGGGTTCCAGAATAGTACGCACGTACGCAACAGCGAGAACAGTGGCCACGAGTCTACTTTTTCCCTCCCCATATATCCGAGCTTGGCCCTAGGCTTCACAACGCCCTGGGACTTGCCCTGGGAGGCGCTGGGTCACTTTCAGCAACAGCATAGCATGTCATGTCTGACTCGAACCGCTTCAATCTACCGAACTAGCTGTGGAACCTGTGGACAGTCATGGGACCAGATACCTCTAGGCTATAGTGTGTAATTTTCATTTCTTCCATCAGTAGTAATCAGGCTGAATTGTAATTTGTGACCAAGTGTTGTACAATTCTCTTGCTTCAGCCTGAGCTCAAAGGAAGTAAAATGAAGCTGTTAACATCTATCACGATATGTCTATGATAAAGTCCAAGTTCAACAAACAAGTGTCCTCACGGAAGGTGATCGGGCACATTCCCTCTGTATTTCCATTCCTACATGTATTAATTGCGAATTCCTCCAACTGGGCTGTTACACAGGCACACTTTACACAGCCCAGGGCCCCAGCTCAACTGTCCACCCTTTTGGCTGTCCAGTTCAGTTCAGATCAAGCATGAGCTCCCTATGTCAGTCACACATTACCCAGCTTGCACTGGAGCCGTACATTGGTGCGGTATCCCGCCCGCGTACAATCAGAATCTATATATAGTCTAAATACATGTAGAATATAAGTTCAGCTTCGACTGTACATATAAATGAAGCGCGTATGTTGCTGCTCTCTTCTTCCATAGCTCACTCACTATTGCTTGCGCTTTTGAGTATAATGGTTGACGACTCCGTTTTTATGTGTGAGCTGGCATTTCATAAAACAGTCCCCAGCTGGTATAACTTTCTGTCAATGCAACACATAGTACAGTAGACTGACTACATTGCTTCTCCCTTGATGTTTCCGCTAATTCTTGTGGGTTTACATGTTGGTCTCATGGTGGATGTGAATGGACATAGTTTTGGTCAAGTGTTTATAATGCAGATCCCAGTGTCAAGTAAGGGTTCTGCCACTGCAAGCGGCATTTCCCCGAGTTTCTTCACAAATTTGGTTTCTCATGCTTTGCATCCCACCCGTGTACCCTCAATGCAACGGGGTGTGTTTGCTCGTTTGTTCACACTACAGTTTCATGTGGGCTGGTGGAACGAATGCATACCCAAGCCTACAGGCCGATGTACGGGCAAGCCTTTCCTCATTGCGAGTGCCGGAGCGGAGCAAGGGCTTCCTTGTACCGCCCTTGCACCCCCAATGCAACACAGCACCCTCAATGCAACATGTGTTGAATGCGCTCTACCTGACCTTTTTCTTAGAAAACTGTATCATATATTGACCTGTAGGCTTGTATAGATGTGTTTCACCAGCCCAAAACAAACTGTAGCGCGAACAAAAGGGAAAACACATCCTGTTGCATTGAGGGTGCAAAGGCGATATACGATACAGTTTTCTAAGAAAAATGCCGGGGATAGTGCGTTCAGGGCATGTTGCATTGAGGGTACCGAGGCTATGCAGATCGGGGGAAGGTTGCGTTCTTCAGTATTTTTCATTGTAGGTTAGCCAATAGGATCAATCGGACCGGGTTTCACTGTCTCACGGTTCAACCTAAATTCGAATGCTCTGATAGCAACAAGATATCAGGATTTGCCGTCCACCTTGCGTCTGGCCTTGGAGAAATTACATACTGACACACGGTGATATACAAGCCGTGAGGCCTGAAGTCCTGCATGTGTGACAAACTTAATATCAGTCGCGCTTAACTCGTAACCACCATGGACACCCTCGGGCAGCTCCTGGGTCAGGTCGACCCCAGTGTCGAAGTCCGTGATGTAGAACTGGCCATACCCCTTCACGTGTTCTCCCCCGACCCTATAGACAGAGAAGAGGCATTTGAGGCGATAAATAGATTGCTCATCAGCAGCTCTCCCCCGCTGGACGACACCCCGATTGACACAGATCCCGCCAGCAATGTGATCGAGG